AAGGGCATCAGAGAAGCAAAAAGTGCTTCCCAGGTGTTCCTGGGAAAATGAGAGCACGTAGTCCCACTAGGTTACATTATGGTCACATTTTTTTTTATTTTTACCAGCCATTACAATCTTTCAACAGAATGGGTGCTTCACTGAATATAGATTGATGTAAATTTCTAGCACCAACTGTGCATTACCTTCTCTAGAACATACAAGTTGGTTTGGTTTGTTTGTTGTTTTTTTTCCTTTACGAGCATTTCACTGCTACACCAAAAAATTTGCTTTCCTACTCCCTGTGATGGCATATGTATTTTTCTTTCTGACTAATGTGCAGAATCTGTACCCTGAGTTGCACATAAAACTACAGGCAAAACAACTGAAGAGCATTAGCTGAGCACACACATCTTATTTTTATGATGGCTTTTAATCTTAGTTTGCCAGCAAACAGAGGCTTTCTTACCTAACCATATAAAAATACTTCTATTGTTAATTGCATTTCTGATTGCTAGCCTGTTGCAAAGAGAAACTATGAAACCTGACACTAACAGTAAAACAATCAACAATGGTTAATGGCTAAATCACATTAGAAGTGTTCATTAATTAAAATCTGTTGCATCTCTTTGTGCTCCATATTTAATCGCAGGGTTACTAGCATTGCAAAAGTAAACCTCAGAAAGAAATGCAGGAAGTTTTTCAATTGAACATCTTAAAATTTGCCTCATCTCTTAAAAAAAATGGGTTTGTTTCATATAAGGTAATATTAGGTGCATAAAGTAAAAAAGAAACAGTGATTATGTTGTTGGGGCAGATTATATAAACCTGCTATATTATTGTAATTAGGACAAAAGTGACTTGGCCTATAATAGTGGCTTTCTTGTAAAAATGGCACCATTTCAAATTTATAGTCTCTAGCTAAATGAGTTTGTTGTAGCATTGACAAAGAAACAAACACAAGCCAAATGCAGTCAAAATTAAACACAAACAGAAGCCGTAGTTGTTTGCTGAGTAGAACCCAGAATGTTGTTTTTCAAAGAGCATTTACTTAATAAATGCTCTTCCCTGCATTCTTACTGCTTTTTCAATACAATTTCTTTTTTAAAACTTTAAGCACATTATGTATGTAAAGATATTTATGCTCATGTAGTTTATAACTGCAGTGTGTGTAGTGGAGTAAAATCCTGCTTAAATATTGATAATCCAAAGCTCTAGACCACAGCACAGAGAATTCTGCTGTGTGGGGGGGGTTGCCTAAGTAACAGCTATGATGGCTGTGGGTCTCTTTTTTCTGCATTCTTTTTCAGCCTCGGGAATCTCTCAGTTCTCCAAATCTTTCATTCCTGATTAGTTGAAAAGGGTTCTGTCGCTTGTATAGGTGGGGTAGGTTGCTACTTCTTCTGGACACTAGCATCCTGCAGTGGAACCAGCAATATCAGTGGGTGCAGCAATATCATCTGCAGGTGCAGAGGGGACAGAGTTTGCTTCTTTATATACTTCTTATTGCCAGTGTGAACATATTATTGTGGCACATTTCACCACAAAGATTTCATTCAAGGCATAGAACCAGGAAAAAAAAAAAAGTGATAAAATTTAAACTATGTGAAAGCTTAACTAATTTCAATAGTGGAAGTAATTTCTGTAATTTCTGTTTTGTGTTTGCTTGCATCTTTCATAAACAATTTGCATCAATAAGATAGTTGGGAGCAAATTACAGAATTTGACAGACCTTCTCAGAAATGTGTTATGGTGGTCGGAAATTAAATGCTGAGTGGCAGAGACTGGGAGTGTAAGAAATTTATTTATGGGAGCTGGGAGAGTATTTTATTTTTCCGTTCCCTTCATTACTTTTATTAGGTGAGATTGCAGTCACTCTTCAAGTGACCTGTAAGGGAAAGAAAAAGAAGGGTATGCCATTTCCCTCTTTTTTGTATATAAACAGGGAATTATCATATTGACTATTAAATATGTATTTTTAATGTATGTATAAATTTCAGATAAACTTGGGTCCTCAAAAAGTGGTATTTTTTATCACCAGGAAAAAGTCTTGAGAGCTGAGCATCAGGTTTGGAAACAATGTTAAATACTGATTGGCTGTTTTTATTAAGATGTATTCACCTTTAATGTCTAACAAACACATGGGCTAAATGACGCATTTATCAGAGAATCAGCATACCCATTTGAGTTCTGAAATCTTGAAATAAGTACCTATAAAAGTCTTCAGTAATTCTCAAGTGAAATAAGAATAGACATTAGATATCAAATCTTTCTAATCAAGCAATGTAATTATTTCTGAAGTCCTTTGAAATGAGATCCATCTAGGCAAATCAAACTAAATCTCAAAGAAGTCAACAGTTTCACTTCTTTATTTTCCTTTGTGTATAAACTATATAATGGAAACAAAATGGAACAGCCTAGATGAAATACTCTTACAAAAATTTTAACTGATCTGTGATGAGCTTTACCTTATTCCAGCCCTGTCCAGTTGTATGATGTTCTGTGCAAACCTCTTCTGTCTTAAGAATATTTCAAAACAAAAGTGAAACCTAGTACATCACCTGCTGTTTGAGGTGTACTAGTTGAAGAAACCACTGATCTCTACACCAATATTTGGTATCACACATGGGGCAGCAGTTGTGAACTGCAGGAAATGTCCTACTGGGATGGTGGGGCCAGAGCCTGAATTCTGCCAGAGGGGAGGTATGGCTTGGCTAGGACATTGTTTTGTCTAGGGACAACAAAATAGAGGACTTGTAACTGGTGTATGAGTTACGGAAGGTGAGCCAACAAAACTTAAGTATGTGAGACAATTCTAGTAGCTACATCTCTTCATGCTTTGTAGTTATCGTGGGCAAGCTACAAAGGGTCCTTTTGTACTTCTGCTCCTGCAACAACGAAACTCAGGCTTCCTGCATATGTCCTTGTCATTGTTCCCTATTTCAGTTATTCTCTGTAGCCTACACCATGGCCTCTGAATATGCCCCATGGTTGCTTCCCTGTTACTGTTTTTGCTCTCTTATATGTGCAGGATATCATCTATAGGCTGAGGCTGTGGTACTTGCTTCACGGCTGATGTCCTCATTTGTGTTATCTACCCCTTTTATCACTTTCACTCAAAGCCACCAAGCATTGTCTGTTAGTGTCTGGGTACACAGCAAGATTTGTAATTGGTTAGAAAACAAATTTCTGATCTTAGTTCCTTACAAAATAACCATCAAGTTCAGGATAAAGTCCATTTCCCATGACTCGTGACAGGTTAAAGTTTATTATATGAAAGGTTAGGTATAAGACCACCTTTCAACATGAAAAAGAGTTAAACTTCAAACCATGCAATTTATGTGTCAATAAGAACAGGCTCAGCAAGCACCTGTCGAAGATACATGCAACAATATTCTTCAGAATTGCAGTCCTCTTCAACACAGTAACTATCAGCTGCAGGTTGTGTGGATTCTTCTGGACCCTGCTGAGCAGCAGGAGAGATGTTGGTGGCGCACTTCACTGCCAGATGGGGCTACGGTAGAGCTTGCATGACAGCCAGTTGATCTGTTTCCCTTCATTGAGGTTCTTCCCCTGTAAGAATGGATAGATTTATGCCAATAGTCACACACATTTATTTTTTTTTTCTCTGGTGAGATGCATTTCTGCAACCCATATTACCTTCCCTGGGAATTACCCCATTATTCCTATGCAGCAAACCTGCTACAACTTCAGACGCTATAGAACTAACACTCCTTAAGTGAAGTGTTATCCATTCCTCTAGACATCACAGATCCCACTAACACTATATCTTGCCCTGATGTTTGATGTGGCCAGGTGAGAAAGCATGAAATAGAAGCTATTGGATCATATGCAAATTATCTATAAATATACAAACATTCCTCTAAATAATTTGCATGTACTGTAACACAAGAACTGCCTAAAGCCATGGCAGCAACGTGCCATACAAAGAAAGAAGAAAAGAAAGTGCAGTGCAAGGACATGCCATCTCCTTCCCCTTTAGTTTACTCTTCCTACCCTGAAGTTACCTGTAATTTGGACTGGGCAGCACACAGTGCTAGAAGGAAGAGGAGACTATTTTTATTGGCATGTACAGAAAGGGAGAAGGGGAGTATTTTGGTGGGTGCTATGATTCTTTTCCTTTCTGAACATAAGAACATAATTCAGCCCTTAATCTCTCTTCTATGGTTGCTTTCTCTCCCTTGGTAGATACTGTTGTTATTGTTACTCTAATGAATGTCCTCATTATATTTTTAAGGCATCAGAAAAAAAAAAAAGTCTTTGCAGCAAGCTTAATGTAACTGACTGAATTTCATTCAATTTTGTTTCTTTCAGGAATGGCAAGTGCTGTGTTGCCTAAGAAATAAAAAAGGGCAATTTCCTTAATTTTATTTTATTTTTCTTTTTTGGTCAGAGTATGGAATTTATAACTCTGGTTAGACAATGGCCTCCTCAGTGGTAGAGAGTCATTTCAGAGACAATAGCTGTTGTCCTAACTCTGTCACTGTGGCCACATCAAACCATTACAGTGGCTGCAAGCCAAGTGAGGAAATAAGACTCCTTTTTATTATTGTTTTTCTATGTGGTCTCTGTAACTTGGCAGGGTTCTTTCAAATGTTATTTCGCAAGTCTTAAATGCAACATATTATATTGTATTATTAACCGTGTATTTTGTATCCCTTTGATATGATTCCCTTGTAAATGCTTGAAGTCTACACAGATCTATCAGGTAGCTTTAAATGCATTATACAAAGAAACTTTAAATAATACAGCTACTAAAAGGATTTTTCATTTACCCAGAAATTCAGTCTGCTGGCATATACCATCTTGAAGGAAAATGTTTTGTTTGTGTTCCAGAACTAGTGTTGTAAGTTGTTAGTGATCATTTATGTGGGGTTTTTTTTATTGTTGTCATGCAACTCACAAAGAAATTAATTTTTGTTTCAATTTTTTTTTTTGAATGTTACGCAACTTTCTAGTAAGTGTGTAAACATTCATTGTGTATATTCTTTTTTATTTAGGCACCTCTGTTACTAAAGTAACAGCTACAGATGCAGATGATCCAGTTTATGGAAATAGTGCCAAGCTGGTTTATAGCATTCTGGAAGGACAGCCCTACTTTTCTATTGAGCCACATACAGGTAGGTGTCTCCAAATATGAATCCCTGTGTTATGAAATGGCCTTAAGTTATGCCAGATTGTTTAGACTGGATATTAGGAAAAAAAAATCATCACTGCAAGGGCTGTCAAACACTGGATGAGGCTGCCCAGGAAAGCAGCAGATTCACAGTCCCTGGAGGTATTGTAAAATGTGTAGATGTGGCACTTGGAGGTGTGGTTTAGTGGTGGACTTGGCAGAGCCAAGAACCTGATGATCCTAAAGGTTTTTCCAATCTAAAAATTCTATGATTCTATTTACACAAGTGACTGCCTCTCACGTGTTTCATATAATGTACATAAACTGGGAGTGTACATGGATGTCCATCGGTAATCATAGAATCACAGAATAGTTAGGGCTGGAAAGAACCTTAAGACCATCTAGATCCAACCACCACGCCATGGACAGGAACACCTCACACTGAGCCATGTCACCCAAGGCCTCGTCCAACCTGGCCTTGAACACTGCCAGGCAGGGATGGAGCATTCACAACTTCCTTTGGCAGCCCATTCCAGTGCCTGACCACCCTGACAGTAAAGAACTTCTTCCTTATATCCAATCTAAACTTTCCCTCTTCAAGTTTTAACCCATTATCTCTTGTCCTACCACTACAGTCCCTAGTGAAGAGTCCCTCCCCAGCATCCCTATAGGCCCCCTTCAGATACTGGAAGGCTGCTATGAGGTCTCCATGCAGCCTTCTCTTCTCCAGGCTGAACAGCCCCAACTTTCTCAGCCTGTCTTTGTATGGGAGGTGCTCCAGTCCCCTGATCATCTTCGTGGCCCTCCTCTGGACTTGTTCCATCAGTTCCATGTCCTTTTTATGTTGAGGACACCAGAACTGCACACAATACTCCAAATGAAGTCTCACAAGAGCAAAGTAGAGGGGCAGGATCACCTCCTTCCACCTGCTGGTAATAACAAGTTGGAACATGTCTCTCACTTCTATTCCATCAGAGTGTGATCATGTGAAAAGACAAAAAAAGTCTGCATTCTCTAACAAAAGCACTGGTGATGCTGATATAACAGAGGTTACTAAAGCAAAACTGAAGGTAGTGAAATGCTGTCAGGCTTACAACTGACTGGGGATTGAAAGACTTGGTCTGCGGAATTTAATGAGCATAATTTAATTTTCAGTATAAGAGTGTAGTATTTCCAGTTAAAGAAAGCAGAGTGTAGCTTGGGAATTTTAGTGAACGTATTGTGTATTTCCATTAAAAATTAGTTTTCTTTCTTGATTGGATGGATTGTGGGAGAAAACATGATACTGAGTGTTGTTATGAAGTTTTATTAGCGTGCAACTAGGATGACTTTATTTCTCTGTGGCTTTAAGGGCTTGAGAGTAATCTGAAAGAACTGCCAATAAATCCATTGCCTCATTTTCTATACATATGTCATATATAGAGCAAATTCATTTTGTTATATTTGGTAAGTGGTTTTTAAAGTGATTTGGTACGATTTCTTATATTCTTTCACCTGTTACTAGAAGCTGATTTTGGTCACTGTGAGTCAAGCAGCTGTGATCTCCTAAGGAGGAGAAAACTGTAGCTCATTTTTAAACATTCACCAAAAAAAAAAAAAAAGGATTTATATGACCACAAAGGATTAAATAAGAGTAAAAAATCTTGTCCTTGTGCGGATTAGCATAACTATGAAATAAATGCTAGGAGAAATTATTAAAGGATGCTTTTAATGGATCAAGTATGCTAAGTCTTCTCCCCAACATTAAACATAGTATTCATAGACTCTTAGAAGGTTTTTTAAGTCTTTCTGGTGAGATTGCATGGAAAAAAATTATTTCCCATTCCTAGAAATGTCTTAGCTTGCAGGGACTTTAGGTAAATAGTATAGGTTGATAAATATTAATAGATTAATAGAAGGATCCTTTAAATTATTTTCTTCGGGTTGAAGTACAGCTATCCTAAATGTGAGCACAATCCCTGGAATGTGATTCACTATTTTATCTTATGATGCATGTAAAGTAGAAATTTACAAAGAATAACCTTAGAACAGCATAACGGAAAAACAGTAACTTGTTTCAAAAGTAAGTATGTCAAGAGGCTGTTATTGAGCTCATGCTAGCTGATTTATCACATGTGATTTGGAAATATAACTCTGAACAGACCCCTGACCATCAGCTATCAAAATATGTGATTTGATTTGCTTTAATATTACAAATTTTGCATGCATTTATTTCTTGAGTTAGCTGTCTTCATTAGAGGGGTTTAGCTGTAAGTTTTTTTCAGTTTCTACTCTACAGTTATTGCTTTGGTATGGGAACACACATAGCTTTCACAGAGGAGCACAGAAATGTGTTCTCCACTTACACAGAAGATTTTCCACTTCTTTTTCACAAAAGTAGCCTGAAAGAAATATTCCAAATATAAAAAATATCTTTCATTTTACTCAGATCTATTGTTTCTATTGCATGAAAACCTTATGATTAATCCACTGAAATAACTATCACCTAAGAAAGTGATTTCTATTATCATGAAAGCCAGAGGAAAATCCACAGCTTTTTGGTGAATCTGAAAATCATAATTCTTCTGTTTCACTGGGATCAAATTTCCCCCAAACCTTCTTTTCCAGTTACAAATGTTCCTTTGAGTAACAGTTCAGTTACCATGAAAATGACATGTTAGTTTCTAGAGGAAATTTAGTCACACAGAATTCAGCTGTGGCTTTGCCACAGTCCCTGAGTAAGTGGCTTCATATTACGGAGCTGCTTCTGAATCAATAAGTGGTTTCTAGATTCCTTATTTTTATAGATTGTCATTTTTCTAATATGGAAAACATTGCTTATATTCTTCTCTAAACCATTATAACTACATGAGTTTATGTACTGAGGCCAGTTTGTTTCTTTGCCATCCCTATGTAATGGCCTTCATCTGTAGAGTAACTATCATACTAATTTTACAGCTACCCGCCAAAGTTTGTTAAATTCGGAGAGTATGCAATTGTTTTGTGACTTTAGATGGACCTCTCCAGTGCTTACAATGCTTTAAAATTTGCAGAATTTCCTTTTGTGTCTGACATGTGTCTTCATTCACTTAAAGAAATCTTAGCCATCCATGCTAAACGTTAAATTGTGTAGAGCCCTCCAGCATGTATTTGTTCAGTATATGTAAACAATAAATATATATAAAAGTCTAGTCGTTAAGCAAGCCAGATGCAGGTAGTTATGTAGAAACTGAAGCCTTATATTGCACAGGGTAGAAAAAATTGCTGTGAAAAGCAGCAGCCTTATAGTTGTGTTTTTTTTTTTTTTTTTAAAGAAAAGTGTGCTCAGAAAATGTAAAGAACTATGCAGAATAATCTGTTGGGTTTTTTTTTTTTCCTTATTTTTAATTTCTAGCACCAGAATTTTGGAGGAAAGGTATGAGCAAGGGTTTATTACATACCAGAGAGTTTTATAGGTTGTTACAGGCAGTCTCAAAATGCCAATAGTATTATGATAAGATAGCTACAATTTTGCAGTAGCTTGTGACACTGTGTATTTCACCTTTTAAAGTCAGTGGTGCATAAAACAGGCACACTTCTTTAGCAGCTATATAATTTGCACGGTAGTGCTGATACCATGGACAGAGAATGGAAGGTGCATTTTAGCAAAAAATGTCCAAAGCAAATAGAAAGTATGTATGATGTTTAACTGGGTTTTTTTTTTTCATTTATCAAACCTTAGCAGTGTGAACCATCACAACTCTTAGTAAACTGGATACAAAAACACACTATCTTACATGTTTGTATGTAGAACTTTGAACCTCATGTGGGAAGATGTTTTGATACTATTGTGACAGTGTGAAAATTAAAACAGAACAGACAGGTATACTAGTGCTGTATCCAAAACAGCTCAAACCTGACAGTGATCCTCCAAGCATGGTAGATACCACAGGGTATGGGGTTTGTTTGAGCTTTATTGTTGGAGGGATGTGGATGTGTATATAGCTACATTTTCTCTGTGGTTACATTTCAGTAGTGTCCCAGCTAAGTTGAAAGTCTTTCCAAATAATTTAAAACACAGTTGTTTCTGAACACAGGTATTGTGTCTAGAACCTTGTCTTTCCCCGAATGGAATCTCTATTTTAAGAAATGGACTATGCTAATGTAATCCACTTCAGAAGGAAAATATTTTCTGTCATTCATAGGAATGTATCCAATGCTATCAAAACTGTAGCTACTTAGAGCTGATCTACTTACTGCTTTTCTAGATGACTGGCTTTTTATTAGCTTTGTTTATTAGAAATTAAAATTAGATTTAGATCTGTGCAGCTACCAGCACCAGGGCAGAAATAGATACCCATAATTTCTTTTAATTTCCTGCCTGAGACTAAAGATTATCTGAACTTGCTGCTTTCTTTTAATGATATGCTGAGAGCTGATAATCAGAAATAATCCCAATCATGCCCCCTGGTTCCTCTCCCTTCTGTAGTACCCTGAACAAAAAGAGGAGCAAAGTTGTAGCATATGGCTTCATGCCTATGGTAGAAAGGGTTGCTATACCTGAGGGTGTGAGGAAAACAGTTGCTTATTCTTCTGCTTTTTTGTCCCTACTAACTTGACATTAAATAGGTGTAGTCCTTACCTGAATCACACCCTTGCTTGAAACACTGTCATTACTTTCAACCTTGCTGAAACAATTCTATAATGCTGGGTGCACAGAAATAAGTACTGGTAAGTGACCCATAAAACAATAATTTTCCATTACCTTAGATGAAAAATGCATATACTTCTGCAGTTCTAGTATGCAAGTTCTTCTGTATGAGTTATTAGACACATGAAAGAAGGTAATTCAGAAGTTATTTATCATTCAGTGCTCTGAATATGGCATAGGGTAAATGCTTTTCTGATGTCTTGCTCTGAATATTTTTCACTTTTCATAGGTGAATTTTGTGGATAGAAAGTAAATATAAATAATACATTACAAAAATACATATTCAGATATTCTATTAGAGGCTGAACTTACAATGTGATAACATCAGATTAGTA